TCGTTAAAAAATTGACGACTGACACCTCCCTTGGCACAGTTGTACACCAATCCCAGGTAGATCAATACAAGCCTGTAAATAACCTGTGTTTTGGAAGGTACAAGCTCAGAGTAAATGTGTTGTCTTGGTGACACGATACCCCCCCCCCCAAATTAATCATAAAGATGCAATTTTGATGAAAAGTATTTTTTTTATAGTGTTGATTGATAGGTTGTTGAATACATTTTAATATGGTTTATTATAAACTAAAAACATTGTTCACAACTATACGTTCAGATAAACTATGACATTCCCAATACTAGTAATATGCGCTGAATGTTCTGGTGTACACAATGCCATACACTGCACATGCGCATCTAACAAATTCTATTTTAGTTTCCGATGAATGAAAAAAAATGGTCATTAACATGAAAAAAAATATTACAAAATACAAATTTTCGGCCATCACATTTTTAATTCTCGCGATATTTAGTGCATGGTGATATTTTGACCACGTCACGTGTTATTATTGTCTGGCGAGATTAATTATCATGCGTGTTGTTATTTGAATATGTAACGTACAAATCGCCGCAAGACCCGATTATAAGACTGTATTTCCAATTGATATGTTATCAAGTTTGACTTCAAGATTACGTGATTGTGTTATTAATAATGTCAACAGAAATGTTGACGATTGTTACGAATTGTTAACGATTGGTTTAATGTTATGAACAGAATAAGTTCTAAAGGCTAGTGTAACTTTAGCTGGCAGGTTTTATGTAAGTGACTTTATCAAGTAAGAATCAAAATATGGCGCTTTTGCTTGTAGTGAAATGAAAGACTTGAAATTGAAGGCGAGTCTATCCCTGGAACGAATCAGTACAATAATAAGGTCGCATACAATTGTGCCTTACAAAATGCATTGTTGCACTAGCAGGTGCAAATTACTTACAGCGTTGGTTAAATATTGTTCTAGCATTTCTGTGCGTTTCAGTTCTGTCAATAACAGCTCAATAAGCCCCTGTTTGCTGATCTGACACACTATTTCGCTACGATCTGTCATCGACGTAGAACAGTTAAGCAGTGTCATAGTGGCACTAGTTGTCTCCGGACTCCTCTCAAGGGGACCGTCTTTTTGTATCGCTTTACAATACTTGAGACTAGCTTGCACGTATCCGTCGTATCCCAGCTGGTCGCACATAAGTCGTCTCTGCTCCTTCGACCCGTAAGCGTACATACCTTGTTCAATATTGTCCTCGATTGTTTCGGTGATGTCGTGCATTATCTCGTCAGTGATACATTTATTACTCGCTTCCTCTATCTTTTGTACTGTGATTTTAAACCGCGGTAGTAACTCTTCTATTTCCGGGTGGACTTTCAATCGCTCCTTGTGTTCGTCCATTGCTGCTTTCGCGGCGTAGGTCGCCAACATGTCAATACCAGCGGCGTCAGTAGCCAGGTACTCCGGTGTGCCATCTTCTGCCTGTTTAGAGGTTATAGTCTTCTTGGACGGCGAAGAACCCATGGTTGATATTTACATAGACACCAGTTTATGAACGACACACAGTTTTGAAGTATGCAACGAACGTGACATGGCGTGCGCCAAGGAATATGCAAAGAACTTCATC